ACTTCCCGCAAGATGGCCTATACTCTCCCGTGGGTCCATCCCACCACCTTGCTCTTGTTGGACTGAGTTTCCGGCCCCTTGGCTCTGACTAAATGGAGGCTTGGCCTTGGCAGCTGCAGAGCATTGGTATCGGAGCTTTTTCTTCCAGTTCATTTTCTGAGTCTATTTCGATGGGCTTGCCTTTCGTCTCATTTGGGATTGGTTCACTAATGCCTTCATCAAATTCCTGTGTATCTTCCTCGTCCAGTACAGAGAACTTTGACGGGTCGACCCCAAACTTGTCCTTTAAGGAAGCTGCATGGGCATACAACGTCCTGCCATTTCTGAGTGGCTTGGTGACCCATTTCGTCTTTGGTTCAGGCTGGACCTCAATCTTTCTGCTATCCGGATCAGAGTTGTCTTCTCTTGTGGAGGATTTCTTCTCTTGTTGAGAAGTAGTCGGTCTGCCTTTGATGTTTACCTCAGTGTTAGGTGATAACGCTGCTTGAGCCGCCTGTAGTTCCACCTTTTGAATCTCCAATCTCTTAGCTGCGGCGGATTTGACCTCCTCCATTGTTGTGAATGGTTTAGTTCGATCTTTAAGCTGTTCTACTTCCTTGTCTTTTGCTACTCGACTCCCGGATCCTTTCAATTGAATGTCCGTGTAACGACATCGCCCCATTGTATGCCCGATGTTGCCACATCTTAAGCATTGTAGTCTACCGCGTACACTTGGGTGTTTCAATACCAAGGGTCTTCCAAACCAGATGATCCTTACGATACTTCTTAAAAATTCCGGGCATTCCGCTGTGTGCACCGTGAGGCGCCAGACTACTGATGTCCTTGACTCTGGTCGGCATGTGTCTAAGTCATCCAACTCGAACTTCGCAGTTATGTTTTGCTGGAGATAAGCTTCAATTCTCCCAATATCCGTGAAACGCGTGATAATGTATATGTCCACTTCGTATTGCCGCTGAGGGGATTTACGCGTGCCGTCGTGTGCCAATTGTCTCAGCCAGACTGAACCGGTATCAGGTCTATGGACGTTGGCGAGCCGGTAGACATTTCTGTTGAACGGAACTTGTACATTCCGATATTGACGAGCTGTAGCTCTGTCAAAGAAAAAGAAGTGCAAACTCCGATGAACATGATTGTAGCTGATCGTCTTGGCTAAGCTGAGCATTTTGCGTAAGTCTGGCGTGTTGGTGTGCATTACTTCTGCTGCCACCCGTATGTCCTCTTGAATAGCTTGCGTATGTTGGCGGATCTCTCGAATTATGGTTCCACCCCGTAGCTGCAACAGAAGCTCTCCCTCGACTTGACTTTGAATGGTTCTGTGCAGTCGTAGCCGTTCATTAGAGTCAAGAATGCTTTTAAGGAAATCAGGCTTCCTTCTGCATACTATCGTTCCTTCTGCCATTCCCCCAATGATTCTCCACTCATCCGCTGTTCCGGATCTGAGTTGTCTGCCTGTTGTTGCTGCTGCTGGCTGTTCACATAAGTCGCGAAGTCGCTCTATGTCTTGCCGATTAAACATAGCTGGGTTAAACATAAAGTCCTGGTATGTGTCCACATTTGTCGTCGTTCCTGTATTCCCTTCTTGGATCTTGTCTGTCGCTTTAACCTTTGCTGCCCATTGATTTAGTGGTTTGGTGTTCGCCCACTTTACTTTGCTTATCGCTCCATACATGATCGTCTTGAACGATCTATTCGTGTTATACAGCTCTTGAGTAGCTGCGAGTGCGTAACGCTCCCAGTCTTCATACTGCCCCGGCGTAAGTACACATGTTTCCTTAAACATCTTGAACAGTAACGCTTTCTCTTCACTTTTCAACTTGGGGTATCTCTGTTTTCCGGCTGGAATTAAGTCCTTGTCCAGTTTTACTTTCCCATGGACGATGTTGTACAACTCACAAATCGTCATAATCCATGCCGTGCGTGGCTGGTCGCTGTCTGCTTTCTTCATCTCTTCTACAACAGCCTCAAACATTTCTTTGGGGGCTACGTCCTGTGATTCGAGCTTGCGGTCTGCTTGCGTACAAGACTGCTTACTTGCCTCCTCCTTATGTGATTCTCCGTTGTCGTTCACTTTGTTGTTGCTGCTCGCCTGCGTCTCATTGCGTTGAGCTCCTGGCTCCACTGCGCTGTCGCCCTCATCGTCATCAGGATACACTTCCTCGTCTTCATTAGGACGTTCCTCTTCGTCTCCCTTGCTGGCATTGTCCCTCTTGGACTCCTGATTTGCGTTGTTCGTAGTTCCGTTCTGCTCAAGATCCTCCATTTCCTCATCGGATTGTTGAGTTTCTGGTACGATGGAGCCTTGGCTTAACTTTTCTTCTGTCAACATATCCATCCCTCTAGACCCGTGAAGGGAAGAGGGACTGATCTCCTGGACGCGCACGGTCTTATCCGGCGGCTTGCCCTTCCCCGGGTCCTTGGGGGCTTTCATGCTGGAAGATCTTGGAAAAGATCGGTATAGAAAAACCTAGTGTTTCTAAGTTTGGGCTGGGTACACTTCGATATTTCGAACGCCGACAGGTGGTACTGATCTGCCGGGGCTTTGCTGGGTGCGCTGCTGATTCGAAAGTGACGCTCGCATCTATAGCCTCAATCCGTTCGCTCATTGCTTTCATCCATCCTTCCCGATGACGGCTACACATAGCCTGCCTATATTTCTTTGGTCGGCCTCCATGACGTTGCTCACAACGTCCTGTCCGCTCTCCGACTGTTCAGCGAACTCGTCCGCATAGCCAGTAGTCTAGCGACCCACCGACCGCGTCACCGGTCGCTATCTCGTCCAAGATGTTTTCTTCTCGGACTTCTTTGTACGCTTCTTCGCGCTGTCCGTACGGCCACTCACGACCCAGTGACTCTCCAGCGCTTGTCGCCTCAGTGGACCTCGACGGTTTACTCGCAGACGCCTCCGAATCTGCAGCATCCTTGTCGCAGGTACAAGCGTTGAACTTGCTGAGTCGTATTCGAAGTCTCAATATGTTTGGTGTGCTGATGCGTTATCACTGCCTTGTCTTTGGGTCAATACTTCCTGAAGCCTTTAGTTGTTTTCTCGCTGGCCAATACCAGCAGCGAAGTGCACGTCGGTCAGCTGTCCTGATTTGTCCACATCTTATGTCGACACTATCAGTGTCAATGTGCTCTTCTTGGTCACGACCAAAGGTTCTCCGCTCGGTTGAGCGTATACACCGTCATACGACTCCACAGCT